TGTGTCTCTCATGAATAAATAAATAAAATCTTAAAAAAAAATCTACGAGGGAGGCAAGACTGTCAGAACCACCTGCAAAAAGCCTTGGTTTCTCTTCCAAACCTGTTTCGGCCCATCTTTCCCATCTCAGAAAACAAACGGGCACCACCACACACCCTCCTGTTCCAGCCAAAAATCTCTAAGTCCACCTTATCCTTTCTCTACCCCACCAACACCCAACCAGTTCTGTCCCTGTCCGCACCAGGAAAATGGAGCAGTTTCCAGGCGGGGCAGAGGGCCCATCTGAGGGTAAGGTGTGCCCAGGCAGACTGTTGGGGGGGTCTCAGGCACCTCCCTTGTCTCCATGCAGGTGAGGAGAAAGCAGAGAGCTGGCTTCCACCACCGTGAGGCTCTGTCAGGCAAAAATGACAAGGGAGGGGCAGGGAACAAGAGTCAGGATTTTTGCAATAATCAAAGTGGTAGACCTTGGACCTCAAGGCAAGGGCAGGGTGATGGCCGCTGAATGAATGGGAGGGTCCCTGGGTGGGGGGTTATAGAAGGAGCCTACTGAGAGGAGGTGAGCTGGAAGGATAAGAGGCGTGAGCAGGGTGGAAATCCAGGGATGGTACTGTTAGCACCGAGGACAGGTCTAGGCCGTGACTGTGGGAGTGGGCAGCTGGGCAGAATGGAGAAAGTCCTGTCTGGAGGTGAGGAGGTTGGGGTGCTGACGGGGCATCGTGTGAGTGCTAGAGTCACAGGGGAGGAGGCTGGGGTGGAAGGCAGGCAGTGAGCACCCCCAGAATGCAGGGGAGTGGCGGGGAGGTGGTGGATGCTGGCACCTGCAGGCAGGGGCCTGGGGATTGCCGGTTCATCGTGCATATTCAAATGATCCAGGGGCTTGAGGGAGGAAGGGGGACAAGGAATGGTTTCTGAGACAGATAGGAAAACCAGAAGGATGCCCACCTCTACCTCCCAGCCCGGAGCTGCCTCCTCTTGGGGGATGCTGGGAAGTCTTCCCCAGGGCCAGGAAGTGGAGGGGATACGCTGGAACCCCAGGGTCCCCAGAAAGGGCTGCAAAGGGCTCGAGAGAGAGAGAGAGAGAGAGAGAGAGAGAGAGAGAGAGGCCTGGACAGGGAGGTGGGCCAAGCTGACGTTTGGCACACCTCCCAACTAACAGAGGTAGAAGAAAGAGCCAGCTGGGCAGCAAGGCGACAGGAAGAGAAGGATGTGGAAACCATGCGTTGCGGTAGCAGAGGGCACTGTGGAGGGAGGAAGGGTCCCCAGCAGGGCAGAAGTTAACTAGCTTGGAACAGGGGTTAAAACTAGCTTTTCTAGAACTGCAGAACAATCCCCCCAAGCCCCCTCCCTCCTTCCCCCACTCTTGGGGGAGGGAGTCCCCTCCCAGCCAGTCCCAAGGCTGCACAGACTCAGATGCAAGTACCTGAAGGGCCCAGAGAGGGCAGGCCCCTTGTCTCCCCACCCCTGCTCCTTTACAGATAACCTCTGTGGGCAGCAGGGGGGCACTGCCTAACAGCGCAGGTGCAGAAATGCTCCTTAACCACGAGGAGGGTCGGTGGGGAGCCTGGGTCACTAGATTAGCCATCAGGCACCCCTGCAGTCTCCCCACTGTGTTTGCTGGGGAAAAAGCAGGTGCCTCCCAAAGGGCCATGACTACCTTATCCCTGTGTGCAGGTGGGACCTGGTTAACGGTACTGCCACCTTCCTCCTGACACACTCCCATGGCACTCCAGCTTGGGGAGGAAACAGAGAAGATACTGGCCGTGTGGCCCACCATTTTGGTTGTTACAGAACAGTAATCCTTACAGTGCCACAGATTGAAGCTCTGGTGTTTCCAGTCAAAATCTGAAGAATGGGAAGGTATAGGACAATCTCAGGGGAAGCTCTGACCAACTCAATCCCCTCACTGTCTGTTCCCCAGCGCTCACTAGGCAGGAGTGGGGCTAGACCCTGGGATATAAGGGGTGAGGCCCGGTCCTCAAACTGTGGGATTTCCCAGACTGACAAGTGATCAGTGTGCCAGAGCCAGTGTTGGGGAACACAAGGTGGGAGGGGGGGTGGCTATGGGAACTCCAAGGAGGTGCCCCTTCTGCTTGGAGGCCCAGAAGCCCAAATATGCTCATAGGCTGGGAATCTTCATGGAGCCTGGGCCAAGGGCCAGCAGGAAGCCTGGATTTATCTTCCTGGTCTGAAGAGACTCAACCTGTGACAGCCAATAATGCTGACAATCCCCACAATCCCCACTTGAGCTTCAGCAACATACTCGGCATGAGCACTACTCTACCCTCTCTAGTCACCACCAATGCCTCTGATGGATAGGCCCCATCCATGGGGCATTTCACAGAGAAGCAAGCAGTGCTTAGTGTACAGTTGGTCTGATCTCACAGTAACAGACACACAATCCATCCATTTACTTCCCTCGTGAGTGTTTACTAAGCACCTACTATGTGCCAGACACTGTTGTAAGTACTGGAGATGTAGTAGAATTCAACACAGATAAACCCCTATAAGCTCCTGCCTTCATGAAGTTCCTACTCTACTGGGAGCTAAGTAACAAAGAAATAAAGGAAACATAGATTAGAGAGTGGGTGTGCTTTAACAGGCCAGATCATTGGTTCCTTCTAACCCGATGACCCTGAGAACACTCTGCCCAGGCTGGAGCCCATAGGAAGGGAAGGTGCTGGCTCAAGAGGTGGTGACAGCCCCCAGAGCCAAAGCCTCTCACTATTATGAGCTCAGATTTGGGGGGGCTCTGGCCCTCTGAACCCATCATCTCCGAAGACCATGATAACATTGAGTTTCTGGGCCCGCAAGCCACATAGGGCCAGTCAAGCTTCCACTCCTCAGCGGGCCCTGATTGAGGAGCTTCCAGCATCCTGGCAGGCACCCCCGGCTCATCCCTTTCTAAGTGCAGCTCCCCTCACTGTCTATAGCTGATGCTCATTGGCAGCACAGACCTTGGCCGGGACTGTTGGCACCTACGTGCAGCCTTCCTTACAATATGGTAGACTTTGTACCATTCACATGGCAGCTCAGAGCTCCAATGATGAATGTCCCTGGAGAACTTGAAGGAAGCTGAAGTGTCCCCCTGACCTCGCCTGGGAAGCCCTATCACAGCACTTCTGTCTTACCCTACTGTCACCATACTCTCTCTAAGCCTGGCTCAGCTTCAAGAAGAGAAGACACAGACCCCAGTTCTCAATGGGTGCAGTGCCAAAGAATTTGTGGATGTGTTTGGTTTTTTTTTTGTTGTTGTTGTTGTTAAGATTTTATTTATTTATTCATGAGAGACAGAGAGAGGGAGGCAGAGACACAGGTAGAGGGAAGAGAAATAGGCTCCATGCCTAGAGCCCAACACAAGACCCGATCCCGGGATCTGGGATCACGCCCAGCTCCAAAGGCAGACGCTCAACCGCTGAGCCACCCAGACGTCCCTGTGGACATGTTTTAGAACTGCCACACATGGCTGGGGGTGGTGGCACCAGGTGAACTTGGGATGTCTGATGGCAGTGTCCACATTAGGCCACAGGACTTCACGTGATCCCAGACCACCAGGAAAGAGAAGCAAGGGTCCTCACTAAGGCAGTGGATGTGGGCATAGAGAGGAGACAAAGGGGACACTATCCAGGTAGAAACCCTGTCCTGTCTTTCATGGACATCTCTAGTGTGGACGCACAGAGGACTGGGGACCGCTGGGCTGGATGGGGGTGTGTATGTTCACAGAGCCACTTCTGGGTGGCAGGGGTGGGGGTGGGGGACTGAATCGGTGCCTAGCACCGGGGAGAAGGGAGGAGGGCCCGGCCCTCGGTGAGCCTGGACAGGTCACCAGCCAAACTTCTCAGAGTTTTCAAGAGGAGCTGGTGAGAGCGCATTAGAGATATCAGATCCCTGCCCAGAGTGTAGCCACCACGGTGAGATTTGGGAAGTGAAACTTTTTCAAGACCAAATTTCTCATTTGTTGTTTGAGGTTGGCTTTCAGCGGCCACCCTGCTCTGAGCTGCTGACAGAGGCCTGGGGCCTGAACTGCCCAGAAACTTGCCTGGGGGATGTGGGAGAAGGGCAGACCGTTGGCTCCCAGGTGACCCCTCCTTGGGGATTCCCAGTGGGGAGAAGGCTGGTGAACTCCATGGGGGCTGTGGCCCAGAGGGGGCAGGGCAGGGACGCTGGCCTGGGAGTCAGCCTGGGTATTGGTGGAAGCTCCACCAGGAAAGAGCTGTGTGACATTCAGAAGGCACTTCCCTCTCAAGAGCTCAGTTTCCTCATCCACCAAATGTCAAGACAGTTGATCTTTTTTTTTTTTTAATCTTTTTACTTTTTATTTATTTATGATAGTCATAGACATAGAGAGAGGCAAGGCAGAGACACAGGCAGAGGGAGAAGCAGACTCCATGCACCGGGAGCCCGACATGGGATTCGATCCCTGGTCCCCAGGATCGCGCCCAGGGCCAAAGGCAGGCACTAAACCGCTGCGCCACCCAGGGATCCCAAGACAGTTGATCTTTAAAGGCGCTCTGGGGAATGAGGGTGAGGGGGCAGGGCCGGGCCAGGGGGGGTGGGGGTGGGCGGGGTGACTCAGGCCTCAGGCCCCGCCTCCTGCCCCCGCCCCCCGGGAAAGAGGGTGAGGGGGCGGGGCCGGGCAGGTGGGGCGGGGTGACTAAGGGTTCAGGCCCCGCCTCCTGCTCCCCGCGGTCCCCAGGACTGCTAATGAGGGGCGTGGCCTGGTATGAAAGGGCGGGGCCCAGGGTCACTACTGGCTAGGAGAGTGTCTGTCTCCCTCTCCTGCTCCTTGCAGCCCCCTACCCCTGAAACGGACTACCCCGAGTCGCTGACCAGTTACCCCGAGGAGGACTATTCCCCCGTGGGCTCTTTGAGTGAGCCTCGGCCCACCTCTCCGTTGACCGCGCCACCCGGCTGGTCTTGCCACGTGAGCCCCAAGGGCCACACACTTTACACTAACCACTACACCCAAGAGCAGGTATGGGCAGCGGGCAGATGTGCCCGGACAGCCCCCCAGTCACTCCTCCACCTGGTCCTCACTAGTAGTTCCCCTTAACACCATAAGCCGCAGCTCCTGGGCCGGTAGCCTGCACCTGACCCCCCAAACTCCTTGGGGCTGAATTGGGCTCTGGTACAGGGAAACTTTGCCTGCCTCCCATGAGGTGGGCTGAGAGTCCTTCTTCCCACAGTGGGTGCGGTTGGAGGACCAACATGGGCAGCCCTACTTCTACAACCCAGAAGACACCTCAGTTCAGTGGGAGCTGCCCCAGGTAACCAGCTGGGATAGGGAGAGCCTTGGGGAGAGAGGAGGGGATTATATATGATGTCGACTCTGTCCTCAGGTTCCTGTCCTTGCCCCTCGAAGCATCTGCAAATCCAACCAGGACAGTGAGACCCCAGCCCAGGCCTGCCCCCCTGAGGAGAAGGTAAGGGAAGGAGCTCGTAGGCCCTGGCAGGACCCCCCACAGAAGACACAGGGGCTTCCTGAAGGTTGTGGGGGCCGGGACAGACTTGGGCATGTCTCCCCCACAGGCCCCAGTGACTAGCCTGGGCCTGGGTCATCCCCCACCCCCCAGGGATGCGTGACGTTGGGAACTGGGAGAAAATCTCTCCTCCTGGACTGAGAACTGGCACCCCACCTGCACCAGCAGCAAGGAGGGTTCAGTGGTGACTCAGGCCCAGCCTGTAAGGAGTTGCTGGCTGCGGAGGAGACTAGCCTCTGCCCCCTTGTGGCCCCAGCCCCTTAACTGCCTCCTCTTTCCCCTTGGCTTTCTAAGATCAAGACTCTGGACAAGGCCGGTGTGCTTCATGGCACCAAGACAGTGGACAAGGGGAAGCGGCTCCGGTAAGAGGCGGCTGCACCCAGACCACGGCAGAGTGGGCCTTAACGATGACATTTACCGAGCGCCTCCCAGCTCTTGTTAATCCTTATAGCAACTTGCTACAAAGTCCCATGAGGACACTGAGGCACCTGGAGATAGTAACTTGCCCAGGGTCCCTTGGCTACCAAGTGTTAGAATTGGGAGTCCAGCCCTCACCGTTGGATGGCCCAAGTTGAGCTGTGTTCTTAAGCTCTGTGCCCTGCTCCTGGGGGTGGAAGGGGCCTCAGCTCAGGGCCAAATGCAAGCCCGACCACCCGCCACTTCCCCACCTCCACCTAGGAAGAAGCACTGGAGTGCCTCCTGGACGGTGCTGGAGGGTGGCGTCCTGACATTCTTCAAGGACTCGAAGGCCTCAGCTGCAGGCGCCCTGGTAAGGCCCAGGCTCCCAGGATAGGGACACTGCCTGCCCCCCACCCCCACCCCCATCTGCTCCTGACTGGTGCAGCTCTTTACTTGACCTGGCTTGTGAGTGCCAAGGGAGCTGGGCCTTGGCGAGGGGTGATGACAGTGGATTCAGCCCATGACAAGCACTTCCAGCCACCCTGGGCATGGGGAGCGTTCCTTGAGGGTGGTCCCTCCAGCCTGGGAGGCAGGCAGACTGGGGACTGGGCCCACCTGCTCCTGGGGATGAGGGCTGTGCCTTTCCCTTTTCCTCTCCTGGTGGGCAGGCAGCAAAGGACCTGCAAGCCCAGGACCGCTGAGTTCCAGGAACCCTTGGATGCCCCTTCCCCATTCTGGCCCTTGAGCCAAGGGAGCCTGGTGGTTTGGAGGCAGGGGCTGTGGCAGGCCTGTCTGAACTGAGGGCTCCCTGTAACTGTGCTCCCCCCAATGCTTCTCCCACACAGGCAGCCTCCCAAGCTCTGTACCCCTGAGTACACAGTGGAGTTGAGGGGAGCCTCTCTCTCCTGGGCACCCAAAGAGAAATCTAGCAGGAAGAATGTGCTGGAGGTGAGTGGTGGGGGTCCGGAGGAGAGGGGGCTTACTGGTAGCTTGAGATCCTCACTAGGCGAGCCCCAAGAAGGGGAACCTGGGGAAAGCGGGACTGGAATTCTCAGGACTCAAAGCCAAAGTTGTGCCCACCTTGGGGATCTGTCCACAGTGTTTCTGGCATCATGGATTCTGCAGTTCCGTCTCCAGGAACCCAGTTTCAATCACCAGAAGATGACCAACAATCCAGGGATGAAGGGGGTGAGACTACAAATAATGGGAAGGTGTTTTGAGTCTGTCACCATATCTGCGAGTTCTTCCCTTGTGGCCTATGGGATGTGGGTCTTGTTAGCGAGGCATTTGTTGCTTTATACTGTCTTCTTCTCCTTATATTTGTTGTAATTTATATTTTTTAACCTGTATAGAATCTTTTTTGTTTTTAGGTATGCTTGAGGTAGGGGATCTAACATGTTCCCCCTACAGAAAGATCCAGTTACTTTAAAATCTTTTATTGAATGGTTCATTCTTTCTTATCAGATCTAAAATACTATTCTTTTTTTGTAAGACTTTATTTATTCATGAGACATATACACAGAGAGACAGAGACATAGGCAGAGAGAAAAGCAGGCTCGTCTCAGGGAGCCCAATGTGGGACTTGATCCCCAGACCCGGCTTCACCCTGTGAGTCGAAGGCAGATGCTCTACCACTCAGCCACCCAGGCATCTCTAAAATACTTTTCTTATCTGGACTCTTATCAGTCCAGTTTCCTTTCCCATATCACACTATATACTTAATTCCAATTGCTTTATAATAACCTATTTTGTTTTTTTTAATAACCTATTTTGATTTCTGGTAGAGTTAAGCTCCTGCTCTTTGACATCTTTTTTCATACATTTCATAGCTAGACCTGCATATCCCTTTACCATATGTCAGTTGGCCAGTTTTTATTTAAAAAAAAAAAACTATCTTGGAATTTCAATAGGATTGCATTGAGTTTGAGGAGAATTGACATCTTTGCAATATTCTAGGAACATGGTATCATCATATATTCATTTCTTAATGTTCTTCAGAAGAGTTTTAATGTTTTCATCTCAAGGGTCTTCCCCATTCTTTGCTGTAAGTTTATTCCTAGGTACTTTATGCCTTTTATTGATATTTTTAAATCTTTTCTTAAAAGATTTTATTTATTTATTCATGAGACACACAGAGAGAGAGGCAGAGACACAGGCAGAGGGAGAAGCAGGCTCCATGCAGGGAGCCCGATGTGGGAGTCGATCCCGGGATCCAGGTCACACCCTGGGCTGAAGGCAGGTGCTAAACCATTGAGCCACCGAGGTGTCCTTCCATTTTTGATATTATAAATCGAACCATTCTTCCGTTTGTTAATTAGTTATTTTTGGAACATAAAGAAAGCTACTGCATTTTGTATGTTGAGCTCTTGATTATGTGTCTAGCCATCTTACTGAATTCTCATAGCACTTCCAGTAAAATTTATTTTTTTATTTTTTAAAGATTTTATTTATTTCTGAGAGATACAGAGAGAAGCAGAGACACAGGCAGAGGGAGAAGCAGGGTCCATTCAGGGACCCTGATGTGGGACTTGATCCCAAGACCCTGGGATCATGCCCTGAGCCAGAGGCAGGTGCTCAACTGCTGAGATACCCAGGCATCCCACTACCGTAAAATTTAAGTTGACTCTCTTGGGCCTTTTAGGTTGTCCATAATTTCATATGCAAATATGTTTTGTTGCTTCCTTTCCAATACTTAATTTTTCCTATTGCATTGAGATGCCTGGAATCCTTAAAAGAAGTTTCTTCCTATTTCATTGATTAGGACCTCTTCAACGTGATGAATAGTAACAGGAATAATAGGCATTCTACTCTTGTCCTTGACTTTATTTTTTTGGTCTTTTTAATTTTTTTTGTCCTTGACTTTAAAAAATGTTGCTATTTAGGTTTCTGGTAGATACTTTTATTTCCTTACTTCTAAGAATTTTTATTAGGAATTACCTGTTAGATGTCATCTAAAACAGTCAATAAGGGATCCCTGGGTGGCGCAGCGGTTTGGTGCCTGCCTTTGGCCCAGGGTGCGATCCTGGAGACACGGGATCAAATCCCACGTCGGGCTTCCGGTGCATGGAGCCTTTCACTCCCCTTGTTTTACACACCAGGAAACTACCAAAGGCAGAAAGAATATTGATTTGGTCTAATGCTTTGCCTGGATCCAGCCAAATTAGCTTCCCAGACAAATCTGAGTTAGAATGGAACTGACACAGAGCATCTACTGTCACTACTCCTTTAAGGAAAAAGGGTGGAGAGGGGTGGGGTGCACCTGTTCCGGCTGGTAGTGACCATCAGGCCTGGCTACAGAGTCTTGGGCTAAGAGAGCTAGCCTTCAAGGCCGATGGAAGGCAGAAAAATACGACTCCTTCCTGTAAAGTGGCAGGAAAACTTCCCTCCTCCTCCTAGTTTTTGATCCACCACTCTCCATTCCCTTTGTCCAGACTCCACAGACTGTTAACTGGGAGAGGCCTTAGGTAATAGTTTGTCTCTTCCTTTTATAATAAGGAAACGGAGAAGAAAGGGAAGGTAAATTGCCCCATGGGCATACTGCTACTGAGTGTCAGAAGATGGTTCCTTTCCAGAGGGGCACTTCTCCTCTGATTATACTGTTCTTGGGCTGCGAGCTACATTTTATGTCACAACTCAGTACATACATACTGCCAAGACATAAGCAGGTTTTTAAAAATATTTTTTAATTTATTCATGAGAGACGCAGAGAGAGAAGCAGAGAGATAGAGGGATAAGCAGGCTCCTCTCATGGAGCCTAATGTGGAGTCGATCCCCAGACCAGGACCATGCACGCCCTGAGCCAAAGGCATTACCCAACTGCTGAGCCACCTGGGCGTCCCAATATAAGCAGTTTCTAAGACAATGTAAGAGGGTTCCCTTTTCTCCACATCCTCTCCAACATTTGTGGTTTCCTGCCTTGTTAATTTTCCCCATTCGCACTGGTGTGAGGTGGTATCTCATTGTGGTTTTGATTTGTATTTCCCTGATGGCAAGTGATGCGGAGCATTTTCTCATGTGCGTGTTGGCCATGTCTATGTCTTCCTCTGAGAGATTTCTCTTCATGTCTTTTGCCCATTTCATGATTGGATTGTTTGTTTCTTTGGTGTTGAGTTTAATAAGTTCTTTATAGATTTTGGAAACTAGCCCTTTATCTGATAGGTCATTTGCAAATATCTTCTCTCATTCTGTAGGTTGTCTTTTAGTTTTGTTGACTGTATCCTTTGCTGTGCAAAAGCTTCTTATCTTGATGAAGTCCCAATAGTTCATTTTTGTTTTTGTTTCTTTTGCCTTTGTGGATGTATCTTGCAAGAAGTTACTGTGGCTGAGTTCAAAAAGGGTGTTTCCTGTGTTCTCCTCTAGGATTTTGATGGAACCTTGTCTCCTATTTAGATCTTTCATCCATTTTGAGTTTATCTTTGTGTATGGTGCAAGAGAGTGGTCTAGTTTCATTCTTCTGCATGTGGATGTCCAATTTTCCCAGCACCTTTTATTGGAGAGACTGTCTTTCTTTCAATGGATAGTCTTTCCTCTAAGACAAACTTACTATACACTCTGATTTTTTCTTAATTGTTGTATTCAAAAATAATATTTTGTGTTTTACTGCTGGCTGTGACCTTTTCACCCACTCATTAGCCACAGCCTGCAGTGAGAAAGTCAGTGAGTTAGGTAACTTTGTTGGTTGGACTCGTGCATTTATTTGGTGTGAATAACTTGTAGGATAAAGCAGCTAGGAAAATAGTAACACCCCTCTCTCTTCCTCCCCAGCAAATGATGCCTATGAGACAAAGCCCAAAGGGGACCAAAGTAAACTGCTTCTGGAGAGAGTAAGGTGCTTCTGTGTTATACTTGCACAGTTTGTTCACTTCACGAGGGCACTCGGCCAAGGGCCCAGGTGAGCAGGATGAAAATCTTGCTTATACTCAATGCCAAGCCACATACAAAGGCCTCCCCAGAGAAACTGTGGGGCCATGATGGACAGACATGGGAAAATTCTGGAAGTCTAGCATGCATGGGATTATTTTCAGGATCCCGGGTCTGTAGTGATTTTGCTTCCTGTGATTATGGACTGAGATGTGCTAATAGGACCAGAGATACACATTGTGAGAATCATGGGTAATGGCGTGAATCACTAATTGTCTGCATATGTGTTTCCTCCAAGGCTCTTCTTTCATTCTCTGCTGCATAAGAGATGCTCAATTGAACATGAGATTCAGGCAAATCTGAGGAAGATAAAGTCCTCTGGTGGAGAGAGCAGGGGAAATGCAGAATTAACAATGTCCTTTCTGTTTTCTAGGAGGGCTTTTTCTGGAGAAGGCGGCCACTTTGGCTTCGGGACATGTACAGACCTCTCAATGCCACACGGAAGAAAAACATGGCACAGAAGCTACACGACAGGGATTCTTCTGATGAGGATGAGGTTTTCAACAAGGGACCAGGGTACCTGATTGGGGACAATTTATACTTCTTTTCTAAAATGAGTTAATTATGAAAAGTTTAATTGTTCCTTTACAGAGTTAAAGGCATTCTTCTTCTTATCTGCAGAGAGAAAGGTGATGCCCCAGCAGAGAAGCCTCAGGCTGCACATTCAGCTGCTGAAGACCTGGGTGAGGAGAGCGACTGTGAACTCCACACTGTCATTGTCCTCAAGTGACCTTGTCCTGCCTCAGGATGTCTATAAAGTTTATCTTCTTTTTATTTTCATTAAAAATTTTATTTTTTTATTAGTATTCAATTTGCCAACATATAGAATAACACCCAGTGCTCATCCCATCAAGTGCCCCATCAGTGCCCGTCACCCCCCTCCCGCCCCCTCCCCTTCCACCACCCCTGGTTCGTTTCCCAGAGTTAGGAGTCTTCCATGTTCTGTCTTCCTTTCTGATATTTCCCACCCATTTCTTCTCCCTTCCCTTATATTCCCTTTCACTATTATTTATATTTCCCAAATGAATGAGAACATATAATGTTTGTCCTTCTCCGATTGACTCATTTCACTCAGCATAATACCCTCCAGTTCCATCCACCTTGAAGCAAATGGTGGGTATTTGTAATTTCTAATGGCTGAGAAATATTCCATTGTATACATAAACCACATCTTCTTTATCCATTCATCTTTCGATGGACACCGAGGCTCCTTCCACACTTTGGCTATTGTGGACATTGCTGCTAGAAACATTGGGGTGCAGGTGTCCTGGCGTTTCATTGCATATGTATCTTTGGGGTAAATCCCCAGCAGTGCAATTGCTGGGTTGTAGGGCAGATCGATTTTTAACTATTTGAGGATCCTCCACACAGTCCCTCCTCCAGCCCCATAATAAGAGCCATGTAACTGATCCCCCTTCTCTTTTCACTTTGGGTACCAGGAAAGCTGAACAATTTTTTTTCAGCAACAATCCAGCACCTGTACATCATCTGCCCCCAATCCCTGTCCACGCTGCTTGCTGGAACTTGTGCCTCGTCCTGGCTTCTCATTTTACCAGCTTACCTTATGTTTTTTTGTTGTTGTTGTTGTTGTGAGCTTCCCCCAAACTTCTGGGGACTGAGGTGATGGTAGTTTAAAACCAAGACAACACGTGGAGAGTGGAGGGTGGGGCACCAGGAGGGTCCTGGTTGGGATTCCACCTGGCCCCTGTATTCCTGCTAAGGGAGCCTGGGAAACTAGGGACCTAGCTTCTTCACTGAGAACCCAGTCCAGTTGGAAGCTGGGTTCTGAAAGGCCAGAGCAGGTATCCAACCTGTCAAGGTGCGTAGCAGGGGTACAGGGTCTCCTGTCTAGGATGAGGGCTGCCCTGCCAGACACTACTCCTCACTACCCTCCAGGGCCAAGAACTAGTAAACTGGGTTCCTGGAGAGGGAACTGCAAAATCCATGATGCCAGAAACACTGTGGACAGATCCCCAAGGTGGACACAACTTTGGCTTTGAGCCCTGAGAATTCCCGTAGCACTTTCCCCAGGTTCCCCTTTTTGGGGCTCGCCTAGTGAGGATCTCAAGCTACCAGTAAGCCCCATCTCCTCCCAACCCCCACCACTCACCTCCAGCACATTCTTCCTGCTAGATTTCTCGTTGGGGGCCCAGGAGAGAGAGGCCCCCCTCAACTCCACTGTGTACTCAGGGGTACAGAGCTTGTGAGGCTGCCTCTGTGAGAGAAGCATTGGGGGAGCACAGTTACAGGGAGCCCTCAGTTCAGACAGGCCTGCCACAGCCCCTGCCTCCAATCCACCAGGCTCCCTTGGCTCAAGGGCCAGAATGGGGAAGGGGCATCCAAGGGTTCCTGGAACTCAGCGGTCCTGGGCTCGCAGGTCCTTTGCTGTCTGCCCACCCAGGAGAGGAAAACGGAAAGGCACAGCCCTCATCCCCAGGAGCAGGTGGGCCCAGTCCCCAGTCTGCCTGCCTCCCAGGCTGGAGGGACCACCCTCAAGGAACGCTCCCCATGCCCAGGGTGGCTGGAAGTGATTGTCATGGGCTGAATCTGCTGTCATCACCCCCTGCCAAGGCCCGACTCCCTTGGCACTCATGATCCACTATCGCAGACCTAGCCTCTGACAAGCCAGGCCAAGTAAAGAGCTGCACCAGTCAGGAGCAGATGGGGGTGGGGGTGGGGGGCAGGCGGTGTCCCTATCCTGGGAGCCTGGGCCTTACCAGCCTACCTGCAGCTGAGTCCTTCAAGTCCTTGAAGAATGTCAGGACGCCACCCTCCAGCACCGTCCAGGAGGCACTCCAGTGCTTCTTCCTAGGTGGAGGTGGGGAAGGGGGGGTGGCCGGGCTTGCATTTGGCCCTGAGCTGAGGCCCCTTCCACCCCCAGGAGCAGGGCACAGAGCTTAAGAACACAGCTCAACTTGGGCCATCCAACGGTGAGGGCTGGACTCCCAATTCTAACACTTGGTAGCCAAGGGACCCTGGGCAAGTTACTATCTCCAGGTGCCTCAGTGTCCTCATGGGACTTTGTAGCAAGTTGCTATAAGGATTAACAAGAGCTGGGAGGCGCTCGGTAAATGTCATCGTTAAGGCCCACTCTGCCGTGGTCTGGGTGCAGCCACCTCTTACCGGAGCCGCTTCCCCTTGTCCACTGTCTTGGTGCCATGAAGCACACCGGCCTTGTCCAGAGTCTTGATCTTAGAAAGCCAAGGGGAAAGAGGAGGCAGTTAAGGGGCTGGGCCACAAGGGGGCAGAGGCTAGTCTCCTCCGCAGCCAGCAACTCCTTACAGGCTGGGCCTGAGTCACCACTGAACCCTCCTTGCTGCTGGTGCAGGTGGGGTGCCAGTTCTCAGTCCAGGAGGAGAGATTTTCTCCCAGTTCCCAACGTCACGCATCCCTGGGGGGTGGGGGATGACCCAGGCCCAGGCTAGTCACTGGGGCCTGTGGGGGAGACATGCCCAAGTCTGTCCCGGCCCCCACAACCTTCAGGAAGCCCCTCTGTCTTCTGTAGGCGTCCTGCCAGGGCCTACGAGCTCCTTCCCTTACCTTCTCCTCAGGGGGGCTGGCCTGGGCTGGGGTCTCACTGTCCTGGTTGGATTTGCAGATGCTTCGAGGGGCAGGGACAGGTACCTGAGGAGTGAGAGGATGTCATTTATAATCCCCTCCTCTCTCCCCAAGGCTCTCCCTATCCCAGCTGGTTACCTGGGGCAGCTCCCACTGAACTGAGGTGTCTTCTGGGTTGTAGAAGTAGGGCTGCCCATGTTGGTCCTCCAACCGCACCCACTGTGGGAAGAAGGACTCTCAGCCCACCTCATGGGAGGCAGGCAAAGTTTCCCTGTACCAGAGCCCAATTCAGCCCCAAGGAGTTTGGGGGGTCAGGTACAGGCTACCGGCCCAGGAGCTGCGGTTTATGGTGTTAAGGGGAACTACTAGTGAGGACCAGGTGGAAGAGTAGAGGGGGGTACGGGGCGGGGGTCTGTCCGGGCACATCTGCCCGCTGCCCATACCTGCTCTTGGGTGTAGTGGTTGGTGTAGAGTGTCTGGCCCTCGGGGCTCACGTGGCAAGACCAGCCGGGGGGCTCGGCCAACGGAGAGGTGGGCCGAGGGTCATTTAAAGAGCCCACGGGGGAATAGTCCTCCTCGGGGTAACTGGTCAGCGACTCGGGGTAGTCCGTTTCAGGGGTAGGGGGCTGCAAGGATCAGGAGAGGGAGTCAGAGGCTCTCTGACCCTGAGCCAGTAGGGACCCTGGGCCCCGCCCTTTCATACCAGGCCACGCCCCTCATTAGCTGTCCTGGGGACTGCGGGGTGCGGGATGCAGGGCCTGAGGCCTCAGTCACCCCGCCCCCCGGCCAGGCCCCGCCCCTTCACCCTCCAGTCCCGGGTCCAGTGGGCTCAGGCCTGGCTGCATGTCCTCCGCTCGTCCTCGGGCTCGTCCTCGGGCTCGTCCTCCAGCTCGTCCTCCGGCTCGTCCTCCCAGACGGCCTCGCCTGTCAGCGGGTTGTAGAAGAACACCCTGCGGCTCTCCTCATCCCAGTACTGGCCCCAGTCTGTCTCGAGGCTCTCGCGGCTTCCCACCGAGGCCGGAGAGGTGGCTGTGCTGGCGGCGCCCTCAGAGGCCTCGAAGGGCGACTCCCAGGTGGTCACGCCCGTGTCTGGGTTGTAATCGTAGGGGCGCCCGCTGCCCGCGTCCAGGTGCTTCTCCCATGCGGGGGGGCGGGGGACCGAGGCGGTGCCAGGTGAAGTGGGCAGGGGCTGCCTCTCTACGTTCCCGTACACGGGCTCCGGGGGGTCGTCCACCTGTGGGAGGAGGAAGGAGGCGTAACCGTCGGGGCAGCTCCGGGGTCACCCAGTCCCGACTCAGCCACTTCCCACCTGGGCGACCTTCGGCAAGTTGGAGTAGCCCCTGCTTCAGTTCCGCCGCTGCCCAATGTCTGCCCTGCCCGCTCCGGAAATTGTAGTGAAGAGAGAACGAGGAAATATTCGTGAAGGGGCATTGTCAAATATGAAATGTCGCAGATGCGTAGGGCACTTACATTATTTATTAGCAATAATAAAACATCGATATCTGGAGTTCTCCCAGCTGCGCACTCACTGTGCACTCCAGGGGGCCAATCAGAGGTTGGGCAGGAATAGAGAAATGGGCCCCATTCCTTTTCCTCCCCATTCAGGTCACAGAGGGGCAGGGCCCTGCTGCACTCTACAGACCCCACCCCTCCTTCCTTCCTGTCCCTGAAATCTCTGGGACTGGAATCAGTACCACCTCTGATCTGGGACGGAAACCTCCTGAATGTGGTTTTTGCAGACCTCAGGATCAACTGCAGAGAAGGGACAGAGGCAAGCCAGATGGGAGGAAGGAAGGAGGAGCTAGGAAAGATGAGCCCCTCGTGCCCTCCAAAGGAAAGCCAGGTGGGCTGGAGGGTCCGGCCACACACAACATACGTCTGGTCATGCTCAACACCCCACTGCTCCCTGCGGCCTGCGGGGCAAAGTCTTCACCTTTAACAGGGCACCTGAGGGGCCTGTCACCTCTCTGTCTTCTTTATGTCCTGCCATTCCTGGCCCCCTGCCTTGAACTTTATGCTCTAGGAGCCTGGGGCTGCTGGAGGTTCCACTCTCCCTGCTGTATATCTTTTATGGGCCTGGCTCCTTCAGAGTCTGCCTAGGCCCATCCCCACCCCTTTTTTCACCTGGCCCACTCCAATTCCTTCTTCAGGACTCAGGTGTCAGGTTCAAGACCTTTCCTGAGATTCCTCTGGCCTGCCCACCACCGCCTAGCACCCTCAGCTGGCCAGAGGGATAGATAAGGACACTCTTAAACCCCAGGCAGCAGAAGAGCCCCAGAATGTTAATACTGTTTCTAGGATGATCTAGTGCTACGAGGGAAATGCAGACTTCGACATGGGGAGCAAGTATATAGTTTCAAATCTGTGTTTTTAGAAACCCTCCAAAATGCTAACAGAGATAGTTATCTCCTCTGGGCAGTTTAGTTATATGGATGGGGTCTTTCTTTCTTTCTTTCTTTCTTTCTTTCTTTCTTTCTTTCTTTCTTTCTTTCTAACTTTTCTCAAAATTTTGTACAATCACCACCCCTCCCTGCCCCGCCTTTTTTAATCACAGAACTGCCTGTGATGCCTTCACTAAGCTGTAAACTTCCCAAGAGGGGAAGCCGGTCATGTCAAGGTGGCATCTCCCTGGGCCTTAGGAAGGCGCCTAAAAACACACTCGTTTGTCCCACAAAGATTCACCTGTCCGGTACACGCACTGTTCTAGGCACTGGGGAACGCTGCAGTGAACAAAGGGACCCACATCCCTACTGGGCAGCCTGGGTAAATGGTCAGGGAGCAGGGAGGGAGATGAGCAGGGTGAGAAGTGAAATGCACAGCACAGCACGTTGCCCGTGGTAGTTACTGCTAGCAGGAGACAAAGTGTCAGAAAAGCAGTGGTACAGTTTTAGATCATCAGGGGCAGGTCCCAGGCATGGAGGGAACAGGAGGAGCTGGATACACCAGATCCTCACTCCTCTCCCTCACCCCGCAAGCGCTTGTGTGGCTGAGACAGGAACCCCCCACCCCGCTTCTCCTTTCTCTCTGTCCACCGCAGCCATCCCATATTCCACCCACACCGGCCCATGGACCCTCCCCCAAACACAAAGCCACCTTCCTATCTCTGCACCTTTGCTCCAGTGGGTCCTTCAGCCGGGAACTCTCTGCTCTCATACCTGCCTACCCAAATCCTGCTCCTCTGCTGGTGCTCTGCTCCAAGCCTCCGGGAGAGGCCTTCTCCCTCAGGAGAGACGTCTGGCGCACTGACATGCCGTTCATCCCTCTGTTCGGGCCCGGCAGCAATCCGCCTTGAGTTGTCCACTCATCTGCCTACCTCCTCTGATCCCAAAGGCTGTTTTTTTTTTTTTTTTTTTTTGAGAGGGGGACCCAGGATGATGTACTTGACCCCAGTTGCCCTCTAGCTGCTGGCCCAATGCCCTGAAGCACACAGCCAATCCACCAAAAGTACTTACTGATTTAGGACAAAAGCCAATTCCAAGCCACATTTCAGCAGCAAACAACAAACAAACACACCTGACACCACAGGAGACTCAAGTTAGCTTTGGACCAGGATTTCCTGGGAGTGGGGGTTCAACACAGGAGTCTCTTTGGGAGACCAGGATGGAGGCAGTGGACAGAGGAAGGTGGGTGAGCAGACACATTTCCCACCTGCCCCAGCTGGACCTGCTGAGGCAGGTGCCCTCCCCTCCTTGGGACAGGGGCTAGGAGGTCATGTGGGGCATAGATGAGCTGAGGAAGGAGCCAGGCTCTATGGAGTGGGGATTTCCACCTGCAGGCTGCTGGTCTTGGCTGTGAGTCCATGGGGAGTCCCAGGCTGGCCAGGGTGATGGGGATCTCACACAAAGTAGCCCTAGGGGGTAGAGGTGAGAGCTAGGAGCTGGATGTTTAGGCTCTCAGCATGAGGGGGCTGTCAGAGGAAGAGGAGATGCAGAATCGCACTGTGGGGCTCCAGGCTGCAGACCAGAGGCCAAATGGGGGCAGGGCAGGGCCCCTGGGAGGGGCTGCCCCAGAGACACAGGCTGCTTCAGGAGGTAGGAAGGGGCTTTCACTGGACGTGAGCAGGCAAAGTCCAACCCCCTGTCAGTGATGCTACAGCCCTGTGGTGGGAGCTGGACCACACGCAGCGGCCCTGAGGCCCCTTCAAACTCTAGAACTTTCTCCCTGTAGAGCCCCTCCAGTGCTAGGAGAAAGCCAGGATCAGACTGGAAGTCAGGCAGGGCCAGTCCCTCTGTGCCCTCTGGCCTTCAAGGGGAAGCTCGTGCCGGTTAGAGCAGGGCCTGCCACCCTGCCCACGACTCCTGGAGGTCCAGGCAACACCCAGTGACAGCCCATCAGTGGGGCCCTGACTAGGCACCAACAGCTCTCGGGGCCCAGATCCCAATCACAACAGAGACACGGGGGACAACAGTAGGAAAGGGGAAGTGGTCTCCTACCTCAGCGGCAAGAGGGGCTCTGGCTCTCACCACATCCAGCTGCCTAGCCCCGCAGCCCTCCCCTTGCCCACAAGCAGGTGGCAGGCCTGCCTGTCCCCCTGCGCTGATCACCATCTCTCAGAGTCCCCCTGCAGCCCCTCCCAGGCAGGCGAAGGCCTTGGCAAAGGGAAGAGGAAAGCAGGGAGGAGTCCCCGAAGTCTGAGAGATGTCCTGCTCTGAAGCTCCGCTCAGCCAGCTCCTGAGAGGGCCAGAGAACAGACCTTGATCCAGAGGCCCTCGGCCGTCCCCACCAGAGGCTGAGCTTGCCCCCAAATGCCACGGACCCCTACCTGTCCCCGCAGGGCCTGACTCTGCCTCCTGGTCAGCCTGGCAATCATGTCCACCATCCTGTCCCCTCAGAGCTGCTGGGACGAAACCCTGGGAAGGCTTTAGGGGTGGAGCCAAGGGGCACAACCCCAGGGCTGGCACAAGGCAACAAGGAAACAAGGAAACAAGAAGTGGCTTTGAGATGGCTGGAGACTGAGCCTCCAGCCCATTCCCTGTTGGGGCTGCGGAAGTGCTGCCTGAGACAGAGGCTGCCTGCTGTGGGGTGGGGTGGGGTGAAGTGGGGGGGGTCTTAGGTCTTAGGTGTTTCTATGTGTCCAGGGAAGCGCCGGCCTTCCTACTCCATACTCTGATCACCGGCAAGGTCTGAATCCCAGGGCCAGATACAGCCAGGGAGCAGGATGGCACCAAACCGAGGTTGGGGGAGGGGAGGCCAGACAGCTGGGAGAGGGCAGAGGGGGCAGTTGGGTGCTGGGGCCCCAGGCTGGCGTAGACAGGACATAGAGTGGCCCTCAACAACCCCAGTGCCCAGGGCGATGGGGAAGAGGAAGCTTGTGTGCGGGGTGCCGGGGTGGGGGTCAACGTCTCAAAGAGGAAGGGGTCTGGGCAGCTGTGGCATCAGACGGAGTCAGTGTCTGGAGTTCTGCAGCCTCACAGAGGACAGGAGGGATTCTGACCACACCACAGTCCACTCGCCTGACTGCCTGAGCCTGTCCCCTCCCGGTTCGCTCTCCAAGATGCACGCAGGCACCCTCGCCTGCGTGTCTAATACATGCACAAGTATGCCTGCGCGCCCACACTCTAAGGACCCGGAGAAGGGGACAGGGACTAGCCTCTCCACAACCCCACAACCAAGAGCTTCCCCTGGGCCTGTTCTCTCTCCCTGCCCAGCTCCTGCTTCAGGCTCTGACCCCACCTTCCACCGGGATCCCAGACCCATTGTCTCCTGCTCTTCCGTTCCAGTAACCCTCTGTCCCCAGCCCTGGTCTTACTTCCTCCCCTGCCCTTGCCCCCCAGACCACTCCTTCCCTGTACCCACTGTGGGCCCAGGGCAGGGACACCCAAGGAGAGCCAGACGTGGTATAGATTTGGAGTGTGGGACCTTTGGGCAGACCGCATCCAGAACAAGCCAGGCATTCATGCCCTACTCTGCCCTCCAAGCTTCTCTATTGCTCCCCTCCCATCCCAGGTGGGACTCAGAAGCCTGGAACACTGGGGCAGAGAGGCCTGGGGTCCTCCCACTTGTCACACACATGACACATCCCACTGCCCCCGCCCTGAGGGACATGGGCCACACGCAAAATAGGTCACCAGGAGAGATGGAGCCAGGCCCAGGAGATGGGAACAGCTGGGAACTCTGAGCTGGCAGCAGGGAGGAGCTGGGGAAGGAGAGAGAGGACATGGGTGTGGGGACCTGAGCCCTCAGCACTGCCCTGCTGGAGAACTAGGGAGCAGGGTCTTCCTGTGGCAGGAACCA